TGACCACAGGGCCACTTCTGGACTGCAGTGCCTGAAGGCCGGGGGAAGGAGGCAAGGGTCTTTTACCCTGTGCTCTCCCGGGCTCCCTGCCTACCCAGGTTGGCCTCAATGCCCCCACAATTTCACCAGCCATATCTCCCTCCTCGGGGCCCTCAACTGTGCCCATTAATGTGGTAACATCTCACTCCCCCCCCTCCTCATCAAGAAGATCCAACAGCCTCCTGCAACTAACTTTGGGGGTGGGGTAACGCCACAATCCCCTTTTGCTTCTAATATGTAGAATCATGGAGTGGAAAGGGATCCTAGAACTCATCTAGTGCACCTTGTCATTATACAGAATAGAAAACTGAGGGCCAGAGAGAACAGCTGGGCTTGTGGCTCCTCGGAGCAGCTTGGGACAGGGTCCGAATCTCCTGGCCAGAGGCCGTGTGGATGCGCTGGAACTCGGCAGTCCCCCCAGGATGGGCTGCAGTGGGGGCGTGGGGGCCAGGAGACTGGGGTGACTGGGAGATTTGTTCCAGTCACACTGTTTCCCTCCCTCTAATCCTCACCCCCCCTTTCCCCCTTTTCAGCAGCAGTTATAAAATCCAGGAAATAAATGTGGATTGATGGCCTATAAAGAGCTTAGTTAGTGCTGTGACCTGCTGAGTTATGTAACTTATTTATTATCAGTCTTGGATGAAGTTTCTATTGAAGCAACTCACTCAGCCGATTCTGTGACATTTCCTTTAGCCTTGTTCAGAGGTGGGTGCTGCAGAAATTCCTGCAACTTCAAAGACCAGAAATCAGGGGTGGAGATACTTTCAAAAATCCCCTTATTCAGTCCCTTGGGCTGTGTTTCTCACCCTATCAACTTCTGCTCACCTCAGCAGTGGTCCCAGTGCCTTCCTTCTGGGTCCCTGGGCTGCCCTGGCGGGGAGGCCTGAAGAAAAGTTGTTTTTTCTGCTCCTGGGAATGAAAGGGGTGAGGAGAACCCAGGGCTATGAGAACTAGAGGGGGCCTCGCATAAGGAGCCCTGAACCGAGTCAAGAGTTCTAGTCCAATCTCGGCCCTTGACCGGCGCTCTGGGCCTCATGCTTGCTAGCACAGGGAACCAGGTTACCTTATCTGTGCAGTCAGGTCCCCAGGAGGCAGCCTCTTGGATCTGGTCTGGCCTTTGTTGGAGTGACAGCCCAGTGAGAATGAAGGGGAGCGGGAGGGGCTGGCGGAGTTTGGGTGCTAATGGCATCACAGCGCCACCTGTGTCCAAAAGGGAGCAGAGCCCAGCTTCTCCTCAGTGAGGCACCTTTTCAAACAAGTTCATTTCCCAGCCCCCGCCTCTTTTCTGCTCTGGGGGCTGGTCTTGGGAAGCCAAGAATCTCCCTAATTAAGTGTCGCCTCTCAGCCCTTCTCTTTTTTCCCCAAGTGATATCACAGGTGCCCTAGGGAGAAGCTCTCTCGAGCCTCAGCTGCCATCCTAAAGCAGACTTCTGGAGACTTCTTCCCAGGTTCAGAAGGAAAGGATGGACACCCGAGGGGCCAGGGAGCTCAACAGTGCATCTCCTCTTCATTAAGATGGATTCCTCCCATTCGTGGAAGGGGCACCTGGTGCCTCAGGGACAAACTGGTGCATTAAAGGGGCTGGTTGGTACCAGGTGGTTCAGGCTACATGAATTCCCCCCATTAAGGACCTGGCTGGGCATGAAGGTTACTAGTTCACACAACCCAACTACACGGACACAGACAAGCCACCCTTAAAGAATGTTGCCCTACAGCCAGTCAATGACTCTCTCATCCTTGATGTTGCTCTCGCTCTTCCTCTAAAAAAAAAAAAGAATGTTGCCCTAGAAGTGGCCTTAGAGCTCATCTGAGTCAAGCCCCAGCTTTTACAGAGAAGGAAAACTTTGGGTCCAGAAAGAGGGGGTGACGTGATGTGGCAGGGAGAGGCTAGAACCTGTTTCTTCATCATGACTTTCTGAGATGCTGACTTCGGGCTCTTATCACAGGGCCTTTGGAAGAAAGGGCGGTCACCTTGAGGCCCCAGAAACACAGCCTTAATATGGGGCAGGATGGCCTGATAAACCCTCGGTTCGGTAGAGCCCAGGACTAGTCTTTAAATCAGCCCAGGCTGCTGGAGGCATCTGCCCAATTTCTGCTCAGCTCTAGCCAGGCTCCTCCAGGAAGGATGACTGCTTGAGATGCCTCTAAGGATCAATATCGGAGTCTTTTCTGATGAGGGACACGCCCGAGTTTTGCTCCTAGTTCCTTACTTACAGCTCGAGGTAAGCTCTCCAAAACGAGAGATACAGATTTACTACAAAAGCCTTTTTCCACAGAAGCATAACAGGCTAAAATGCAGCAAAAGGCAAGCAGCTGAAAATTCACTCGGGGACTTGTCCCTTGTGAGCTAGCCAGAGGTGAGGGACAGTAGGCTGGATGGAAAAGGACAATGGTTGAAGAAACTGAGGCCTCACTGGGGGAGGGATTCAAACCCTTGCTCAGTGCTGAGAACATTATCTCACTGAACCCTCCCCGCAGTCCAGCGACTAAGGCGCCCTTATCACACCACCACCCCACTGCCTCTGCTCCGGGTGGGACCCAGACCTGGACACGTGCCCTGGCCAGGAACTGACCAGCAGCCTCTCGGGGCATGGGACGGCGGCCAACCGACTGAGCCACACTGGCCGGGGCTACTCTTTTTATAGTAAGGAGACACAACAGTTTAAGGGTCACAGAATTAGGCAGCAGTAGGCCCAGGATTCAAACCCAGGTCTCCTGACTTGAGATCAATAGAATCCGGCTATTCCCCCAGTGAGGACCTTGGGCCTTTACTCATCTCAGCTGGACCAGCTTACCAAGGGCAGGGCCCCTCCCACCGTCCCGAGGATGGTAACACTCCGAAGGCTTGCTCTGATGACCACCTTTGAATTTATGGAGTAAATACTTGAGAAAACTACTAGATGTTATGTAAATGCAAAATAGTCATGATAACAACTAAAGGGTTATGGCTTTCTTTTCTGAATGGGAGATGAAATATTCTCTTTAAGCTTTTAATATAACAATAAGTTCAAAGTACCCTAAGCTTCAATTATCCATGAATCAAAAAGGAAAGAGCACTGGGTTGAGCCTGGGGTGAGCTGCTGGCAGGCCATGTGCTGGTAATAACCAGCTAAAAATGAAGGAGGCCTTGTGCTCCTGGAAACACAGATGTTTGTGAATCCGGCCGGGCTGCTCTTCAGTCCCCGATACAAGAATCAGAATCACCTGGGTAACTGTTTTTCCAAATACACATCTGATAGTCCTTAGATAAGAGGAAGGAAATGTCATTCGGGGAACTAGCCCTGGGGTGACTCGGGCCACACTCCCCTCTCCTGGCCAGGTTGATAATTGTGGCTTTTACATGAAGTTGCTGGCTCCCCTGCGCTGGGGCTGGTTGGTTCACCTCTCCTTTAAGGCTTCAAATTAAATCATAACTACTTTTTTGTTTTGGGTGGGAGCCAATGTTCTGCTTGGACATAAAAGAAAGGAGCTGAACTATCTGGTGTCATTCTCATAAATTGGAAATTCCAAGTAGTCAAATCCCACCCACCAGATACCTGGGCCTCCTGGGGGACTGGGCAGCCTGAATGTGCAAGCAGGTGTGTGTGGCAACTGTACGTACAACACGCTGAGGCAAATGAGAGCCAGGGCCACAGACCCAGAGAGGACAGAGCCAGGATGTTTTTTAGATCACCTGGATAAGCCACCTACCTTTAACACAAGAGAAAACTAAGGTCCAAAGATGTTCAACAGTATTCCTCAACCTTAGCCACACATCACACTTACCTATGACCCTTCAGATACCTGGTTCAGACCCCCAAGAGCACCAATTCAGTAAGAAGGTCTGGGGTGGAGTCTGGCAATTTTGGTCTAGGACCACTGCAGGGGCAGAGCCTGGCCAGGTCTACAGCCTTCTTGTCACTATACCACTGTGTCTGTAAAGGAAGTGACTTTAAAACTGAACTGCAGTCATTGCCAAATACTGAATGCATTCTTGAAAAGTTCCCTAACTACAAAACCTTTCCTAACAAGTTGGCCACTGTGGAAAACGAAGTTTATGCTTTCTGTGATGGCAGCGCTCCTAAGTCTACACTGAATAGGAGGCCTGGGGGCTTAGGCAGTGTCTCTCCACAAAGGTGTGAAAGACAGTTTCACCCCCGGGTGGGACTGCAGGCAGCCTTTCCAGCGATGAGGACAGCACTCTGTCCTGCTCCCCTGACAAAACTGAAATGAGCATTTCCTGTCCTGTGATGCTACTCTAGCTTCTCACTCGAGACTGGCTGGATCAGGAAGATGACTGAATGAGGCTAAAAAGAATTAATCAGTTTCCAAAACAATGACTGGGCAGGCCCCAGAGGACTAAGGGGCAGTTAGGTAAGGTCAGGAATGAGCCAGGCTATTAATTATATTCTAGAGCATCCAACCCCACTGGATAGACGGCTGTGCCTTTGTCTAGCAAACTGTCCTATTAACATGCCAATCAGGGCTACTTTTACTATCCTGTCAGAGAGCCACATTTCTTGTAAACAAAATACACTGGCTTAGTCTGAATACCACTGCACTGAATGTGGATTCACACTGTGCTACCACATGATTTGTTTTATAATCCCCCTTCCTTCCAGAGTCTCTCCCAGGCAAACGAATCACAAATAAGCACCCTACCCCACTCGCATCTGCACTGCAGCCTGCCTCTTTTTACTGAGTAATCTGGCAAATGGCAGGCCTTCCTATCACGTGTGGGGCGTTCCTCAGCACACCCACATTTCTAGAAAGCCCTGTTGTCTATTATTCACGTCTCATGAACACGTGAGCCAGGCAGACATGTTCCTCATGTACTCTCCACGGCTCACCTTCAGCTAGTGCCACATGGCGGCAGTCCCTCAGAAATGATGTTTGATGGGGGAAGATTATCAGACTTTCAAATAAAAACCAAGTTCAGACTCCTAGGAAAGGCAAACAAACAAAATACACTGGACCTCATGCATGTTTCATATACATATTTATATATATTTCATGTACAAAGTTACATTCCGAACCCCAGGGATTCCATAATAGAAATAAATACTGAAATAACTACGTTGCTAAACGAGCTTTTTGCTCATAGAAATGAAGCCTCAGCCTCCAAGAGACAGCACGTAGGACAATCTAGAACCCAGTTTTCAGATTATAGAGGCAAGTAAAATTCCGGATAAAATATCTAGGACAAAAAACAAATTCAGAACATAAAATGGTTAAAATATATATTCAAATATTGAGAAATGTAGGACATTAATAACAACTTAATTTTTTAAAGAGAAAGAAAGACATTTTGTGTTATAAAACAGCATAACCCTGTTAGAAAAGCATTTATGATTTCCACATTTAATTCTCTCTACTCTTCCCATTACAAACATGATCGATGAAGGAGAGCCTGAAATCTGGTCGAGTCCTTTGGTAGTGGCCGTAATACTCACAAGGAAATAAATATGCAGTTCCACAGCATTTGCAGGACACACGTTCTTGAGGACAGTGAACACTGTAAGACAACTGTTCCGCTGTTTGTTTCTAAGGCGCGCATTGTTAAAGGGTCTGTTCTAACGCAGGCCGACCCTTCCAGGAAGGGACTAAAGCAGCCGGGAGAATGTGTTTCAGCCTCTTCTGTGCAAACACACTTAACTGGAAAAGTGGTGTGCTGCATATTTTGTGCTCAAAACCTTTTACACTCTCAACAAGCTGCAGCTATTAAGATATTCATTCCTATTTTAAAATTTTAGATCCACATGAATTAGAGAAAACGCTCTGAACCTGGGTTCCTAGAGAATATTCTCTCCCCAGCCTCACAGGGAGCTGACCCTGCACCTGCCAGTAAGCGCCAGGACACGGCCCCTCCTGCAGGTCGGCAAGGCGGCCATCGGCAGTCTCCCGGGTTCCACCTCATACATACCCGAGTGTAGTAAAATGAGAAAATTCTCAGGAATCCTTATTTCTTCCAATAGGGGTAAACTTTTTTTATTAACATGGAGAGACAACTCCGTGTAGTGAAGCCTCTTTTCTGCCCTTGATGCGCAAGCTACAGGCAGTTCATACCAACCACTCTGCTGCTCGCAAGAAGCTTCCATGTTGGCATTTTCTTCCACAGTTGCCACCCTGACTAAAGTGAGCATTACAGGAATATAAACCTGTTTTTTGGGGGGGGGGGTGGATAAAACAATCAGTAGAAAATATTTCGCTGAAATTACAAACATGAGGACAAGCCCTTAAAACAAATCGTACAGGCGTTTTGTAGTCCCAGAAGCTGATGATCAGGGCCACAGGCAACGACAGTTTTACAGATTAAATACCGACACACCCTTATTCCTTAAATTAAAGCCAGCAAGCTTAAAAGAGCAAACTGCAACCATTGTAACAGGTTTCTTTGCACTTCCCATCTTTAACTCCTGACTTCCTAAATTACATTCGGTCATACAAACTGTAAGACTGAACAGCAAATGGGATATGACTCTTGGGATTAAAATCCCCAAATACTTTGCTATATCTTTTTTTGTGAATTTATACAACATTCCCCAAAATATTTTAGAATGTGGGTTTTTCAAAGGTAAAAATGACTCCAATTTAAAATGAAATAAAAACATAGCTTATACGTTCTGGAAAAGAGGCCTAAGTTTTGGTGCACTGAAGAAAAGTACGTAGCTCAAGCAAAAACATTCTCCTTTTAATACAGCTTTTACCAAGAGTTTTTCCTTCTAGCCATCTAAAGGGGCTACCATTTTACTGTGTACACAATGTGCTTACAGACACACGTGGCCAAATGGATCCAAAGGCCTCCTCCAGCTCATTAAATCTCAAGTATTTGATAATCTAGCCTAATCCTGTATCTATGTAAAAGATACTGGTGTACTTTTTACAAATATCTTTACACGACAGTTCAGAGGAACAATCTCTGGTACTTAAGAACACTTAGACTACTGAGACCTGTGTCTGCTTTCTTTTCTTTGATAGTCCTGATGAGGGGTCTTTATCCAACAAGTTTATATTTTTAAAATAGCTCTTAAATTCATATTTAGCTTTGCTTAAAGTGAGTAAAAAATGGTAAACACACATTTTCAAGAAGCTTGAAGGGAAAGAACTGCAGCATACTGGTTCTTAAAAACGTATTAAACAAGGAAATCAGTTAGATGCAGACTATTTTTAAATGGGCACTGTGAGTGAAAAGATGTCATGTTAACGTTCACTCCATGGTATCTTGGCTTTGTGGTCATGCCCTGCATAGCTTTCCTCTTTGAAGATGGCATTTTAATCTTGCAAGGGCATAAAAGCTCAAGTGTGTCATTTACATACAAAATATCAACTGCAAGCTGTTCTGTAGTTTTATACAGAACAAGAGAAAAGACCTTTTCTAATCAAATCCCTCACTCAGTCCGCTAGGCCACATCCTATCACCACTACAGCTTTAATCGTATGAACTGGTTAGAGCAGCCCAAGGACAATTAGTAAATAGGTAGTTTTTTACATGAAAAAAACTCAGCCAACCACCACCATCTGCTGGTACAAGGAATCCAAACAATTTCCTTTTCAAAAAATCCTCCCATTGTTGATGCCTATCTTCTAAGCCTTATAAGTATAAACCTTTCAGACACATTAGTGTGAAAATGAGTAAAACTAGTCTCAAAAAAAAAAAAAAAGCATATTCAGAGAAGTAGGCCTCATAAACTTAGAGCTCTAATAAGTCGGAAATAGGAAACATTTATTTAAATAGTGTAGTCTTAATTTCTTTAATATAAAACCCCCCCAATCTGATGAAAACAAAGTTTTTATATACCATATAAACAAGATTTTTCAGATTTGAAAGTGAAAGTGAAAGTAATTTACAGTTAGCTTTTAGCCCTCTCGGGACATTTAGATAAATCCTGATATTCCACCCAATATTAGTTTGTGTCAATTTTATAATACATTGGGTAAAACTTTACTATTGTACTTAATGGTACAGTTTCATTTATCAAGTGTTTCCATTAATTCCATTATTAGTGACAGCTAAAAAGTGACCCCATCAAATGAAGTGAGTGACATTCGCTGTGGCAGAATAAACCACATTTGGATTGCTTTCTAGAATTCACTAGTTTGTAGAAAGTAAACATTCTTTGATTTGTTCATAACATACTGAAATTGCCTAGAACACTGGTGCAGTAAATCAGCTAGTTCCTGCATTGTTGCGTTAAGACAGATTCTGTAATGTAAAGTTAACGGGGAAAAATGCTCACACATTATGTGGTGAAACTTATTTCACAAAGAGAGAATTAAATAAAGAGGCAAGGGGAAAGAAACCATGCAGAAGAGACAGCTTGCCCGTCTCCACCTGTGTCCCATGGGCTCACTCACTGCCATACATCACTTGCCACACTATCAAGTGACTCCTTTCCGCTCTGGCAACAGAAGGTTCAAGTGGAAGTTCCTCTCCCAGAAGTTCTGATTCTCCACCTTCATCACCTGGTGGGTGGATGATAAGGAGACTCGAGTTAGGCTGAGTGTGGAAAATGCAGGCGGCTGTGCATCAGGCATGATGCTCGTGGTCAGAGCACCAACAGCACACACACAACCTGCCTGACTCCTGTCGCAGAGAACACAGGGAGAGAAATGCCACGAACCAGAGTCCTCCTGCCTCACTTCCAAAAAGGGTAATTCACTTTCAGACCACATCTGTAACCGTGAACTCACTGTAGCATGTTGGAGATTCATCCCAATATGTCTGTATCCTAACGTTCACCCGAAATGGGAACTAAGAAGGCAAAGCTGTCCAATTCTGTATTTACCCCAAATGGCCAGTCTACTCTTGTCTATTTCAAACTTAGAACTGAGACTAGATGGCATTATGAATGTGAAAGCATGGGGATTGACCCCACAAACTAAACCTGTCAGACAGTGAAGTTCTCCAGTCAAAGGAATTGCCACAAGCACACGGAAACTCACACCATCTCCCTGCAGCACTAAGAGACGGCAGATTCATCACCTAATGTACTGGGGTTTCCTTCCCATCATTTCCAAGTTTAGGATGGGTAATGAATTACCAGTCATGGTGGAGATGAAGAAATGAGGCCAAGCTATAGGCAGACTAGAAGTCCTGATCAGACGCTGCTCTCCCAAGGCCCAGTGTTAATACTCCTCTCTGCAGGGGCACATCTATTGGCTTTGCTGTTGCGGAGCAGGGTTATTCTGGCATAACCCAGTGACAACTCGTCTAGTGGGACAGATTCTTCAGCAGAATCCTACACTTATAAAAAAGGAGCAAATTCTGATCTACTAGAATTCTGTAATGTGTCTCACCTGAATTTCAGCTGGGCATGGGAAAACATTGATACTGTCAACTAGAAACAGAGGTGGGTGGGTGGGGCTAAAAAAGTGCATTTCTTGTTGTAGGCCAAGCTCTCCTTTACCCAACCCCTAGTGGAGTTTTTAAAGCAATGTCCAACTGTGGAGAAGAGCATGCTTTAAGAGGCTCAAGACAAAATCCAATCTCTGAATTGAAATATAATCAAGTAGGTAGAATGTAAAAAATTAAGTTTAGGTTTTAAATTTTAAAAAGTTACAATGATAACGACATTAATTGGCTGAGACAAAAGATTGTTGGCATTTGTTTTTGAGCTGTCTTACTTTGAACTTTGAAGGTTCTATTTTTAAAAATTACCCTGTTTCCTAAGGTCTCTACATCCTACTTAATTAACCCATTAAAAATATGGGACTGCCCGGCTGGCATGGCTCAGAGGTTGAGCATTGACCTAGGATCCAGGAGATCGCATGATGTTTCTCTCTCTCTCTCTCTTTCCCTTCCTCTCTCTGAAATCAATAAAGATATATAAAAAAATAAATATGGGACTGTTTGGATCAATTTTTCACTGTTAATATATTACAGGAAATGAAAAAGGGAAAGAAACAAAAAGAATCAAATTGAATTTTTAAAAATTTACTATTAAAGTTTACCTATGCTTTAAGACGAGTCTGTTTTTCACGCCGGATTAACTACAGATACCAACAAACCTGGTTAAGCAATTTTTATGCTATTTTCAGAATCCACAATGGAAGGACTTTTTAGTGGAAATGGAAAAACCACACAGAAATTTTATTAACATGACATACTTCATATGGTTCCAACTGCACTGGTTTGCTGCACTCCGAAAATCACCCCAGCCCAGTGAAGTCCCTCTTTAAAAAGGAACTCGGCACCAACAGTCAACTATTTACACTTCCATTCTGGCTACTGTCACCAGAATCAATCAATTCCTAAACTTAACATTAACACTCGCTTTAAAAATGTTTCCATAAGCCTATCAGGTATTCTAGAGTATAATGGTCACTGTCCTTTACATGACCCCGAATTTTATACCCCTTTTTATAGTATTCATAACTAAAAAGTATCTATCACTGGTCTACAACATTACATCCTTTAAAACTTTATGTTTAGGAATTTTTGAATCATGTAAATTTTAGGCCATTTCAAAGGATTCCTTCATTTATGGCAAATAAATAAATTTACGTCACAGTGCTTTACAGTTTACAAAGCATCAACTCTGTGTTTTCTTTGTATGCCATGGGCCATTCTTTCTTAGAAAGAACCCTTCAGAAGCTCTAATGATTCTTTAAATTATTAATATAGGGTTCTATCCTAGAACCTCTTCTTTTAGCTCCGACATATTCTCCTTTGGTGAACTCATCAACCCTTGTGGCTTTTAGTACCACTGTAGGCCAACAGGCCCCAAATCCCCCCCCTTCCTGAGGTCTAGAACCCTTCTACCCAAAAGCGCAGTGCACATCTTCCACCTAGACAACGCCCAGCTCCCCATGCTCTTCAAGGTCAACATGTCCAACACCAAACTCCTCTTTCTTTCCCTCCAAATCTGCTGCTGATGTTCTGACAGTCATTTCTGAGGATGCTGCTCACATCCTGTTATAGTCATGCACCTTATAATGATATTTTGGTCTACAACGAATCATATATATGAGAGTGGTCCCATAAGATAATGGAACTGAAAAATTCCTATGGCCTAGTGATGTCTTGGCCATCATAATGTCACGGCGCAAGGAATTCCCCAGGTGTTCGTGGTGATGCTGGCATAAACAAACCTACTGTGCTGCCAGTCGTACACAAGTATAGCACATGATTAATGTTTACAAGGTGAGAAAGTGAACAAGTGAAATAAATTTTAATACAAACACTTTATAGAAGTATCCTTGTTCCTCCATTTTGCAGGTGAGGAAACAAGTTCCGGGAGGTGGAATGATTTGCCTATTGTCTTCTGACCTCCTAGCGTATGCTCTTCACATATAACTCAATATGGGACCAAACTCTGCTATTTCTAAAGTCCCTTCAAACAAAGCAAATACACTTTGGTATAAAAAGAAATAAAAATTTAAAAAAGGAAGGAAGGAAAGATATATAAAGTCCTTTTCCAAGTAAAGAATTCAAAGAAAACCCCTTAGAAATCATTAACAGAGTAGTTTCTTATTTACTATGTGTGAAAATCCAGGTCACAGAACACAGTGGAATCTGAGCTCCCAGAACCACGGACTTACCCATTCGGAAGTCAATGTAGCCCTCTCCTCCGCTGATGACAAGCATAGACTTCAAGGGTGTCTGGCTGCCAGGCTCCTGTGCAGATGCCCCTGCTTTGTCACCTGTCAGGTCTGTGCCACTACTGCCACTCTGTGGGCTGATAACTTGACCTGTTTATATAGGAACAAGTGAATACTACTTATCACAGATTGGGGTGGGGAGACTCATTTTTTTCTGAATATTTTCAGAAACTTGAACAAAAAGGTTAAGTATATCCTAATACAACCAAAGTACTGGGGATGCTAGAAGCCTCTGCATAATCAGAAAACATTAAGAGAGGTCCTAAGAGCCCAATTTGAGAATCTAAATGAAGCCATTTTGTACAAAAGCAGACATAGGTCCAAAATCCAGTATGAAATCTGTGTACAGCCAGGCTGGTGTTAGCTGCCTGCTTTAGACTTTTATAATCTACATATTTTGATCTGAGGGACAGTGGAAAGGTGTCTCTCCTGAGAGGGTACACGAACGTTTGTGTAAAAGACAAAGAAAAGTCTTCATCTTAAGCCTTCTGAGTTTGGAAATTCCTAATTAATATTTATATTTATTTCAAATCCATGATTTTCCTCTCATAGGTAAGAAAAGTATATCTTATTTTTAATTTAGGTTATGCAAATAAAGTTACTGGTAAATATGTCATTTGTTCTAAAGTGTAAGTGCTAAGGTGGAATCCTGTAGCGTGAAATGGTAGAGAGAGAAACTGTCAAATATTATTCACACTATAATCTCTATGGCATTCCTCTTAGAAAGCTGACTGCGCGGTATTTGTTTTTTCTTGGAGTGTCTGCTGTCCTTTGGTCAAACTGCAGAGACCATGCCCCTAGGACACAGCGGGACACAGTCCCATGATGTGACACACTTAAACATTAATTTACGTTGAAATGGGTAGGACAGTTTTATTCCCACAGTGCCTCACTAATGCATTAGTCAATTCTACTCTGGAGGAAATCAGGCCTGCTACAGAAAACTGCTAGCAGGCTGCTTAGTTCTGCCACAGGAGAGGAGCACAGAGGTATGCTGATAAGCCAACCTGAATGGTTTAATCCTTAGGGCCAACTGGTCAACAATGTTGACAATTCTACTTCCAGATTTATAACCAACAGGAAGGTCTTTCCCATATACACGAGAAGGTCTGCTGCAGCATTATTTTTAATAGAAGGGAGAAAAAAACCTAGAGGTACATCAATAGAATAGAGCACATTTATTCAGATATTTGAACCATAGTTAATTGAATGAACTAGGTTTTTATGTATAAACTTAATAAATCTCAAAAATGAGAAGTTGCAAAAGAATGTATATGTAACATAACATTTAAGTTAAATTCAAAACCACAAAATACTATATAGTTTATAGATATATCAAATGTAGTAAAAGTATAAAAACACTGGTGCGATAATGGTTACAGATGGAGGGGAAAAGGGAAGGGAATGGGACTGGAGGGATATAAAGGAGTCTCAAAGGAGACTCTATGACATATTTTTTCTTTCTTTGAGAAAGAAAGAAAACACTATTACTAGTTGTTCCATTTCTAGGAATTTATCCTAAGGAAATAACTATACAAATACATAAGATGCATGTTTCAGGCAACTCATTACGGTGTTGCTAAGGATACTGAGTAACTAGGGTAGCATGTGCCAGCCCTGCACTATGCACACTAATCATTTAATCTGTGGAACACCCGTGGGAAAAGAGGTGTGATGGTTAATTTTCTGTGTCAACTTGGCTATGCCAAGGTGCCAAGATATTTGGTCAAACTCCAGGCTAGATATTGCTGTGAAATATGATTAACATTCAAGTCAGTAGACTCCGAGTGAAGCAGATTACTCTCATAAGGTGGGTGAGCCTCATCCAATCAGTTGCTGATCTTAAGAGAAAAAGATAGCTCCCCCAAGGAAGAGGGAATTCTGCCTCCAGGCTGCTTTTGTACTCAGCTGCAATAGTAACTTTCCTGGGTCTCCCGTATGCCAGCCTGGCCTGCAGATTTCAGATATGCCAGCGCTCATAATCACATGAGTCAATTCTTTAAAACAAATAAATCCAAACATCTCCCCTTCCCACCTGCCTCACCTCTCTCGCCCCTCCTCCCTCCTCTTGCTCTCTCTCGCACACCCTATTGGTTCTGTTTCTCTGAAGAACCCTAATTACTACACCCGGACACTATGTCCAATGCTACAGTTAGTTGGTGTGACAAAGTCACATTTGAAATTTGTCTAACTCATAAACTTGCCTCTTATGGGGGGAAAATTCAAAACATCGGTCCTGCTTACAGATGGTCAGTAACACCATGCTAGTGTTCTCAATGGACAGAATGTTTTTCACTGGACATCACCACTACCGCCTTTTATATCTAGGTGGTACTTTACAGTTCCCAAAGCACTTTCATTAATTTTTACAACAAATGAGGCAGGCAGAGAGCAGCTATTAATCACATCCACTTGAGATGAGGAAACAAGTCTCAGAGGTTAAGCGACTTGCTCAAAGTAACAGGCAGGTGGGAAGGTGGAGGCCCAGGCTCCCAGTCTGCTGCTCTTTGCCACAACACTGCCAATGGTACCAGGGCACATTCTCCATGTCTTCCTGCACAAAACCTTGACCATTTCTTTCTAGCAATCTCCTTTATTAGGCCGAGACCATTTTTGGTATTCTGCAGTGACAAAATAATACCACTGTTTTTCAAAAGCAAGCAGGCTTCTTAAATAAAAATCAGTAAGTTTGTTTTGGGGGGTGGAGGAGAGATTCCAAAACAATTTAATTCAAAATAACTCTACAGCGCTTTATTCCCACCTCCATTATAGAACGTTTCATATATCATAGTGAAATTATCTGTAATTCTAGTACTTAGCATTTGTGCAGGTAGTGGAACCAAGGGACGAGGAGAGAAAATGACACACAACTTCTCAACAGCATAATCTAACTCACCTGGGACGGCCACGAAGAATTTCACAGCATCCCGATGCCCATGGAAGCAAAGCTGTGCATGTGCCATTGAACAATAGGGTATAAACGTCCCTGGAGTCACTTTGTCACTGTTTTCATCACCATATACTCGGATCACACTTCCAGGCCGATTTCCCGGTGCTCCTGAGGTTTTATTTGCTGCAACAGAAAAACCAAATACAAATATTTTCCCCGAGAAAGCTGTAATGATGCAAGAGGTTACTGGTTAATCCTTATGATATTATCTAAAAGCTATAGCCAGCTGAGGTAAAACAAAGGCAGCGATGCCAAATCAAGACAAAGCTGGAAGGAGAGAGCATGCGAGTTATTCTAAGTACCTCAGTAAATGGAGGAGGGAGTTTGCCAGTCTAGCAAGAACTAAGCTTACTTTTTAAACATATCTAGTAATTTTTTTAAAAGTCATTTTAGTTAACAAAAGAAAACAGATTTGAATCTTAGGAATGTCTGTTTTATTTTGTTTTTGAATCCTCATTTTATTAAACTAACCAGTACATAAAGTAAATGGGCATATTTTTAAATAAAATTTTTATAGTTTATCTTCTGATTTTTCTCCCCCATGGTAAGACTACCTCCCTGGAGGGGAGTGGTAAAAAGCTGTGGTTAAAAGGATCCGGCCACTACAATAGAGTAACTTTTATTGACACCAGACCAATGATTTGCTGGAATGTTTTAGAATGACCAGACTCACAAAACATCCCCATTCCATGGGCCAGTAAATGAATGAAAGAAACATGACTGGTAACAAGAGTAAACAATGTAGATTAATGACAGTTTTAAGAGACGTTTCATGTTTTTACTGGAAGGAAAAAAAGTCTGAAAGAAAGTTCAGCTGCAACAAAAGATGATAAACAGAATAAGCCGCTGAGCAGTAGTTGGGTGGCCATGTAACAGATGTCAAAAACAACAAAAAACACCTGCTGCGATGCAGTGACTGCAAGTGGTTGACATTTAGAACATTCAGGAGGGCATCTAGAGATGTGAGAACAGCCTCGCAGTGGCCATCAGAAGCCAGGAGGAAGAGTGGGTTCAGGATCTGCACTTACCCCTCAGCCCCAGTAAACGTCCCTGGTGGAGGATTACAGCTACAGTGAGAGAGGAGGAAAGGGGACATGGAGAGGTGCACGACAGGGGGAGAAGAATTACTATGAGCCACCACTCTCAGGGTCTTCCATTTGACAACTTGGAACCCAAAGCTCTTAACCAAATCCAACTTGGTAAAATACCAAGTAACTACTCAAAGTTCTTACCAAAGCCTCTCTACAATTTCTCTGGCTCAAAAAACACAATTTGATTTACTGTGATTTTGTTTTTCTCAATCCTAAAGCAACTTCAGTGCTTCATGATTTAATAAGAACTTAATGGGGAGTATTTCCTGAATGCTTATATTCCCCCCCCCTTTTTTTAAAAAGAAATCCTGTTCAAAATAACATTGTTAAAATGCAAGTCACTTTTATAAAGAACTGAATGAACTCTGGGGAATCCAAGGATCTCTTAGAATATAAGTGGTCTATAAGACTTATAAGTAACTGATTAAGAACTTAGGATCTTTAAAGGCTCCAGATATACCACCTTCCAGTCCCCTTCCCTTCCCCTGAAAAAGGCAGGAGGACTCTGAGGTGTTTCTTCATTAACTTATTTTATGGGCTTACAGCACTTGTTTTCAAACCATTCCCTGCCCGTGAATTTTGCAACACAAAAACACTTATTTAATGAATGATCAATGTAATGGAACATAATGGGAGAAACACACAATGTATATTTTGTTCACAAAAATAATAATAATGGAACATAATATAAAAAACATACAATGTACACTTTGTTCACATTCTTTTCAAATACAGGATAGATGACTTGTCTGCATCATAAGGAAGGGCTTGCTAACCTGAGAAACTTCTCCCAGACTTTCTCTAAACCCTGAGTCAGCCAAAGGGAACATCCTAAACTAACTGCCGGGGAGATGTGAGAAACCAGGATGAACACTAGCAGTGTTTCTGGATACTGGTGTAATACAGCGGCAAGAAAAATGGACTTCGATATTTATTTCAAACAGGAAGCAGGACTGTTATTCCTGAAGTGAGAAAAAAAGCTTCTCAGAATGAAAAACTTCTAATTATAAATACTGGTCCTGATACATGGGAACTGTTATTTGCTACAGTTCATAAGTTGCATAGAAAGAGTGAAGGAACAATAGTTAGCTCTCCGCCACCAGCTTGATTTTCTGAATCACCAGAGTTGCCAATACCAGAACAGTTCCTTCTGCCCAAATTCAGGACACGATCATTCCCTGCAATTCTCCAGTCTGCACAGTGACAGTTAGGTGAATGAAAATATACTTACTTTCTGTCAGTGGGATGGAGATAATGACACCATTTCCTGTCCCCACCCACAAACGATTGCAAGACACCATAAGAGCTGTGATCCTCACAAAAGAGAAGCCCAGTTTTCCAGTACCTGCACAGCGGGGAGGAAAACATTTCATTAAGAAACTAGAGCAGATGATGTTTTAGGTTCTAGGTCCCTCAGAGTAGTGGGTTAATATAACAGAGAGGAAGTGTGGCCAGAACTAGTGGGCCGTTTCCTGAAGGAAGGCATCAATGCAAACTCTCATTTGCCTTTATCGCCTATCTCACAATTCATGCTTAATGGGAAAAGAAAATTCTCACATTATCATTTAGAAGGAAGACACTGTGGCTCAGGAAATATGACACAGGATTTAATCAGGAAGCTGCAAAACCAAAACACCAAACAAAACAAAAAACCCTCAATAAAAACTGTTTACTAAATCAGGATATCAAATGTCCTTCAAGTTTATACACTGAAAGAGTTCTGGTTTGCCTTGAATGTCTTTGCACAGATAAAAACAATCTTTGCTGGCAAAACTTACATGCTTTCCTCATTCACATATACAGGTTCCATGGCAGTCTACAAATTTTAAGAAACCGCAGGCATATAATTTAGGGAGAATCAATGCACTTTTTTTTCCAAGGGAATTTTTACACTGATCTTATTTTCTGGGATTTAAGAGGCAAAAATATTAAACAGATAATACATTTAAAACAAACAGCCTTTAGTCACTCAAGTTTTACTTGTAAGAACTGAGAGTATGATTATAGAATCACAGTGTTAGAAGGAGTCTTAACTCTATTCAGAAATAGTCTTAGAACCTTCATTAGTCTAAACCTATGGTCAAAGTCCATCCCTGCAATGAGTCTGTCTATGTGAACATACACCTGATTCCAGGGAGGGTACATAGCTATCATCAGGTTTTCTGAGGGCAAAGACCCTGACAAGGTTAAAAACCACTGATGCAGCTCAACCTCTCCTCCTAAAGGCATCATTAATGGCATCTCTAGTAGTCATATAGCTCCGCATTAGGAGCAGAAAACAAGCCAGAAGTGGTCCCCGCCCTTCACCGGGCTTACAGTACATGGGGGAGAGGGGTATAAACAAGCACCACATAATACCAGTGTAGCCACGATGACAAGGCCTTGAAGAAAAAGCAAGAGGACCTAAACAAACTGGGAGGGAAGAGGAGGCCTCTCCTGGGTGTGACGCGTAAGCTCTGGTCTGAAAGCCAAGTAAAAGGACCAAGAAGGACTTCTCAGGCAGAGGGCACAGCATGCGAGGGCCCCGAGATGGGGAGGACATGTGGAGTTTGAGTCAGTGTGGGTGGAACAGAGTGAGTGAGGGGAGTGGCCCAGCCACTTCAATTCCTCTGGTCACGTCACAAATGCCACCTCACCTAAAGGCAGTAATATTCTAAAAGTGGCTGGGCTTACATAAGTGGAAGTGGCGATACTGCACGTTGGTTACTATGCAGCACATACTGGAATGGAAACGGAGGCCAGTTAGGAGGCTCATGGTTACTGAGGCAGGAACAGATGGTGGCCTGGCTTACAGGGCCGGGGCCAGAGATAAAGAAGTAATTGACTGAAGATATTTTTGGAGGCAGCCCGGGCATGGCTCAGCGGTTGACCATGGACCTAGGGTCCAGGAGATTGGGGGTTCGATTCCCGGTCAGGGCACATGCCTGGGTTGCGGGCTAGGCAGCCAATCAAGGACTCTCTCATCATTGATGTTTCTATCTCTCTCTCTCCCCCTCCTTTCCTCTCTCTGAAATAAAGATATGTTAAAAAAAAAAGAAGATATTTTTGGAGGCAGACTTATCAGTTCCCCACAGGGTAGACGGAGTATCTGCCTGACACTTTCACTGATAAGAGCTCACTATTCCTCAGGCAACTTATTCACTGGTTCCACCCAGCATTTGAGAACATTTAAAAAGAAAACATTTTCTTTAATTGACAAAAATAAAATGCTTTGGAAGCTTACCTAACATCTTGCTTACATAAGGCTCAATGTCCACATCCTGCAGATGCTGGTAAGTGTGTGCATGATAGAGACGGAGAGTAGAATCCAAACGAATGGAGACCCACACACCGTCACCTACCCACGCAAGCTGCCGCACCTGGCTCTCCTTCCTGGGATGTGCATCAAATGATTTCTAGGAAAGATTGGTCAATCACAATGTTACTTTTATTACGTAGGAGTTTGTGTTTAAGAACTGTGCTAATCTGCACAAAAATTTGGCAGAATGTATATTAAAAGAGGAGCCTAAACAGTGGTCACTAAATACGATCATTCTTCGCTACACAAAAGCTCTTATCCCGAACTGAAAACAAAATGAAGGACCAAGAACTAAAAGATGCTGGACTGTAACGCTGTAAAGGTGACTCACGTACGGAAGCAATGCTGGCACATGCATGCCACATGTCAGCGTTCAACAAAAGCACTTGATCTCAAGATTGTGTTGGGTTGCAGAGATATACATGAAGTGAGATCCTATTTATAATTAAACAAAAAGGAACCTGCACTGCTGCGTGTGTATATATATCTGCAAATAAGAAAAATAAACACCAAATGGTTCACTTTGGGACTTTTAGGTAAGGGAATGACAAAGGGAGGAGGAGACTTTTCACCTTAAAATTTTCCTACTTTAAGTTTTCTTTAAAAAAAAAATTAGAATTTATACATTGCTGCAAAACTTTTTTAAAGAAAGCAATGCTGAGAGGTTCTTGTTTTTACACAAATGCTTGCTGCAACCTTATTTCTAAGTCTCTGACACACACACATATGGATTTGCGTAAATACATACGGGGAGGCTGAGACGTGGGGCTCCTCCTTCCCCACGACCTGCACGTAATTAAACAAACCAAGAACTACACATTCAAACAATACACACAGGCACCTAGAGGCACTCAGACACATATTTAAACATATGTGTGTTAACCCTGTTCCTTAAAACACTTCCCACCCTCATAGCCAAAAGTGGCCAGGTGTCATCAATGTATCACTAAAACACAGATTCAGGAAACAGCTTCTGAGGAAGCTGAAAATAAGTAGTCTTAGAATCTGCAGGAAATACAAATTCAGTAAGTAGAGACAACATGGGTAAACTTGCCTCGATTTTCATGGCCTTTGGCTGAACCACATAGATTTTGTTCCGATAGCCACACCAGACTTTGTCATGTACCACAGTCATGCATCGGATGGAATGGTGAGGCCGCCCAAGATCTAACAGGTGATAGTTTGACAAATCCCACTGCCCATCTTTAAAAGAAGAGACAGATGTTTAATTATTGCATACCACCTTTTACTGAATTTCAACACAAAAAACATTCTACTAGGGTGTACAATTAAATTTATTCATGAAGTACCCCCAAATACTATGTATTCTGTGTATCTTTTACTTGCAGAAACTGAGTTCTCTTATTCTATAAAGTGCAAAGTTAGAAGAGACCTCAAAGGTCTTCGGCCCAACCTGCCACTCAATACCTGGACAATCATGCTCTCAAGAGCAGTGATTGATAATGTCAGTTATAAGTTATCTGTTTATAATAATATTTTTAAAATTAGACGGGATTAAGATTATTTTGTGGACATACCTATCTCACTCGGTTGCCTTTTGACATATTTTTTTGGGTAAGTCAAGGGCAACTTTAGGAGTCATGTGTACTATAATTTTAGTGTTGACAGAATACAAATGAGACCAACCATGGGAAGCTTGCTTTGCTTGAACAATTTTAGGGAAAGAAAACACCACCTCACAAAGTAGCTGTTCCATTTTCAGAAAGCTGTAATTGTCAGAAAAACATCCCCCACACCTGGCTAAAGTCTGCCCCCTCAAAAGTAATCACCCATTAGTCTATAGCTTTGCCCAATGGGAACACAGAATCCAGTACAACTTCTTTGTTATTGTTCCATGGCTTCTCCTTTCAAACCCAAGCATTCTTGTCACATGTTTATGGAGCCTTCATTCTAACTCCTCTTTGTCCATTCAACATAATTTTGGATTCAGTTTACCAAAACATTTACTTCCATTTTCCCCTAGGCTCTTCCACTTAACTTACTAGCTATCACTAAAACACTCTGCCTCAGTTTCCCCATTTATAAAATGAGGATGACAGTAGAAACCCCCTCATAAGGGCATGAACAAGGTAAAACAGAAGACTTTCCCTCTTTTTGTTATGTGGTCATCAACCAGCTTTCTCTAGGTACTGGTCAGTCACAAACCCACCTAAATATTCTCCATCGACCTCACATTTCTTCAAGCCCACAGGGATATGAGACTTGGGGAAAGCCTTGTCAAAAGCTGAATTTAGTGTATCTACTTTTTTATAATAGTCCCCTGATCTAGTAATCTTGCAGGTAGGAAATGAAGTATCATTTCAGGTTGATACATGTACCAAGGAGTTATGAAGTGTTACATGTTCAATTCCCTTAATTTAATTCACTCAAGTCAGGTTTTCTGATACCATCAGTGCTCTGCCTGCAGAAACACTGGTTTCAAAGGGGAAGAATATAGCCCACCGGGGCGTGGCTCAGCGGTTGAGGGTCGACCTAGGATCCAGGCGATCGGGGTTCAATTCCCGGTCAGGGCACATGCCCGGGTTGTAGGCTCGATCAATGACTCTCTCATCATTGATGTTTCTATATCTCTTTCTCCCTCTCCTTTCCTCTCTCTGAAATCAATAAAGATTTTTTTTTTTTTTTAAAAAAGGGGAGAATATAAATAACATGACATGAAAATCATTAAACTTTACCCAATTAAAAATTATTTTTAAATACCCAATGTAAGTGCATGCAATGTAATTGAATGTAAGTAGTATTTTTTAAATACTGGATAAAAGAAAACATATCCTCTCACTAAATTTCTCCCAATTAAAAACCAGCACCTCCGTATGACATTATGTGCGATAACTGTGAAATGCTAAACTGTTTGCTCATTATGGTAAACATATTTTCACTGAGGAATACTATTAATGCACACCTCTGGGCAGGCACTCACATATTTATTGCTGTCATATATTGTTACTATTCAGTTTAAACCTTTATTCTTTCTCCTATTAAGCATCATTTCTTTAAAACATAAGAAACCAACATGCTTGAAAATGCTTCTGCAAGACATTTCCTCCAATTAAGAATATGCCCAGGTTACAGATTCCTAATAACTCACCAACTCCTCTGTGAAAGATTGCAAGGGTGCCATCAGCCAGGGCCACTAACACAATTCCTTTCACGTGTCTGCGAACAGGAAAGAGGATTTCAGACCTCTCCATCGGGAATACAGAAGGGACCATCTACACTGAACTAGTTCAGAAGCTCTCAGAGGGCCAGCACATGACAGATGAGGGAGCTCACATCAGAACCTAAGTGAGCCGCTCTTCTCTTCATTGGGAAAGCCTGCTATAGAAATGTCAGCTGAACTCAATAAACAGCATGTGTGGACCCCAGATGTTCACTATCAGGCACAAACTCCTCCTCTCATCACAGACTGTTAACAAAAGGTCCACAGACCAGAGACACACACTCTGAGTGGAACTAACAGAGGCAGCTCTGTCACTTAGGAGACAAACTGACTTTCAATAGTCAGCACATAGAAAAGTTCCAGTAAATGCCTTAGTGAACATATTCAGAGTATAAAGAATACTCTAAAACAAGTATTAACAGGTACTGACTGGTTTCTCCCCCAAGGTACTAAGGCACTCACAGCATGGTGAGGTTTTAATCTCACCCAACTTCTCTAATTCTATAAAGGTAAAAAAAGGCTGGATTCTGATTTAGTCACGAAGTACATGTTAGCTTTAATAGTCTTAAAATCTAGTTTATACCAAAATATAGTATTTTTAAAAGGAAGAATTTCTAAAATAAAACTTACACAATACTGAGAATCGAATCTTTAAGTTTAATAGAATGGAGACATTTCCTCCACTGGGCTACAGATGAATGGACATACAAGCTGCAAGAACAAAATCAAGACTGGTAAGGCATAGAGAACATCAAGTCATTGCTCATCTCTAATAATGACCACAAAGCTCCTTCAGGGGGAAGGAGGAGTAACATACACATTTCAGGAAAAAAACAATGAGAGCACAGGTAGGCCTAGGGCAGAGAAACAGGCTGCTAAAGCAAACAGGAACATGGAGAATAATGCAGGGGCAGTTTGCTTCAAGTTACCCCACCCTTCAGAATCCTTGGCAAAAATCCTTTTAGAAAACGATCTTACTCTTCTACTAGACTGAACTACAACTTTGTGATGACAGCCCTCCACTTATCTCAGTACAGTCTGCGAGCTAAAAGTGGTTTTTACATGGTTGGAAAAAATCAGAGTATTTCATGACATGAGAAGTGTATGAAATTCACACTTCTGTGTCCATAAAGTTTTACTGGAACACAGCCCCACTAACCCACTTACATATTATCAATGCAATGGCTGCTTTTGCACCACAACAGCACAACTGAGAAGTTGCTACAGAGATCATACAACCACAAAACCTAACATATCTTTTATCTGACTCTTTATGGAAAAAGTTTGCCAGCCCTTCATTTTATAGTATTAGACCCCTGTGGAGAAGACACACTATGACCTTGCTTAACCATAGGAAATGTACAAGTCTGTAAGACCCTCACACTACTAGAATGCGAGCAAATCACGAAATAATATTTATTATCACCTTCTAAGCTTTCCGACTGATCTGTCCTGGTTTTCCTAGTAACTCTACTGAAAAGTTATGTTTGGTTTTGGGTCTTCTGCAGCCAAATGCATTAGTTTAATCCCTGGTATTTCCTGAACAAGCTCTAGCCTACATAAACCTTCTATATATGCATCAATAATTCTGTCTCTGCTATTTAGGATCTTCTATTTCTGGATCACCCAGATTTAAAAATTTTATTAACCTGTTCTTCCAAGAACATTATATAAAGGGAACACTGTGACAGAGAAACATATGGTTTACCATTCAGAACCAATGCAAGTCCAGTTTATGAGACAGTTGCAATATAATCTCAAAATTTATGTGTATATGAAATTCTTTGCCCTAATATGTACTTTGTTTGTAGTTATATGTAGGACATTTTACTTAAATTCTGATTTCAAAAGGAAAGCTAAAAGACTAAAGATACTCTAATATTAAGAGTTGGCACCTACCAGCCATTTTGAGCTCCAAGCCACATAGTTGGTAAAAGGCTACTCATTTTCTGGGCCTCTTCTCTCACCAGGTCTTGTTCGTTTGGCAACACTGATATTTGATCTTTATACACATCTGAGTCATTACTGGGAAAGGTGGGACAAAAGGAAAAACAGCTGAGTGTGCTCAGTTAGTTTTCAGGAATTGGTCATTCCCACACTTTAGTTCACAGTTTAAGAAAAAAGATCAAACACAAAAATTCCAGAAAAGCCAAAGTTAAATGCTCACAATAAATATTTCAACAAATGTACGAGAAGAACATTAACATACTAGGAGGACCAAGTTGCAAACAGGGAGTTAAGAAGTGCTAATGAAATACAGCAGTGAGTCCCCAGATTACAATCACAGGTCTCCCTCACGCTTACGGTGCATTTTATAAGTTTTTTAAAGGAGAAAAGAGGAAGGAACGATGTTTTAGAACCACACCCATACTCACAAAGGAGGGCAAAATACAGGGTTTTCTCAAATACATTAGTAAGCTTGCATTCACCAAGCCTTCTTTCTCTCAGACTGTCACATGTAATAGAGATTATGACTGGTTATCAAATTCAACACAGACAGATAAACATACTAATTCTAAAAAGATGACTTTATTCTTTTTTTTTTAAATTGATCTTTAGAGACGAAGGTAGAGGGGGAGGGAGAGAGAAACACCGATGTGAGAGGGAAAACATCTATCAGCTGTCTCCAACACGCCCCCTACTGGGGACCGAGCCCGAAACCTGGGCTGTGCCCTGACCGGGAATCGAGCTGGCAACCTTTCGGTGCACGGGATATGCCCAAGCAACTGAGCCACACCAGCCAGGGCAGGACTTTACTCCCACATTAACAATGAAATGTTAAGACATTTTGGTTGTTCTATACACTTAGAGGAAAAATATTAAATTGTAAAAAGAATCCAGTTTAGATAAAACCCTATCAGCTTTCTGTAAGACCTAGAGTAGGAAAGAAAGAAAATTAAAGCATTCACTAAATGGACCTAGATTGACCAACCTTTTCAAGAAAGAGCCTAAAACAAATTGTTTTTTAATAAAATGTTTGCCAGAAAACTAAACTCAAATAGGTCATTCAAGCCCACATGGGAAACTGAAATAATGGCCAATTTCACTGAACTAGAGTGGGAGTGAAAGTGGGGGTGGGATTAAAATAGCAAGAGTTATTAATAGAACGAAAGACAGTGAGCACGACAATTAAAAAAAAATCATTCTAGAGGAGAAAATGACCAGGAAGATTCTAATACATTTTATAAACAAGACTTTTTTCTTAAGTTGGAAGGAAAAGAGAACAAATTGGGGGAAATAGCCAGAGAGAATGAAGACGAAGGAATAACTGAAGACAGTGGGAATAAGTAATAACACCTAAGTCTGCCACAACCATGCCAATTAGTGGGAATATGTGGCTATTTGAGGTTATTTTGGTTCCTTTAATGTGTGCACTAATACGGTTTCCTAAATTGGTGACCCATTTGGATACCTTGATTGGTACACTGGTGAGAGGTCTTCTGGGATTTGAACTCCCAAAGGATCTGTAAAGACGTGCTCTGTGTACACTCCAGTTTGGGAGACGTCCACGGTGTCTTCAGCTGACCCAGCATTGCCTTCTGTGGCTTCAGTTGCTTCTTCTGCTGTTGGAACATTTTCATCAATCTCACTACTCTCTGCTTCCTTTTCTAAAAAATAAATAAAACATGCTAACCATTCGGAGTTCGAACTTTTCTCCCAATTATTTCCTTGTACAAACCCTCGCTAGAGAATTCCACTCCACCCTCCTCCTCTGCGCTGCATCATGATATTAAGAAGTCATGACTTCACAGCATCTTCTTTAAGTTCTTTGATTCTTATTACTTCAAGATCTATCCCGGCCGGCATGGCTCAGCAGTTGAGCATCGACCTATGAACCAGGAGATCATGGTTCGATTCCCAGTCAGGGCACATGCCCAGGGTTGCAGGCTCGATCCCCAATAGGGGCATGCAGAAGGCAGTGATCAATGACTCTCTCATCATTGATGTTTCTATCTCTCTCTCCCCCTCTCCCTTCCTTTCTCTGAAATCAATAAATATATATTTAAAAATAGTAATAAAGTAAGTCCATCATGAAGCATCTGGAATAGGCTCAGATGCTACACAAATGGTATGTAAGGAGGACAGCTATACCTGGTGGCCTTTCTGTCACTGGAGAAGCACCGTTGGTACTAGGGGGGGTGGCAGCTGCTGTCACACCTTCTGCAGAACAACCAACCACTGTGATGCCTCCCAACAGGCTGTCTGTCTCTGCTGAGCTATTGCTTGTCATGCTTCCAGATAAAGATGCTTTGTCTACCTGTCCAGATTCTGAAAGCTCTTCTCCTGCAGGGTAGTCTGTCTCTCGTGCTCCTAAAAACACAGATAAACCTTCTTTTAATGCTAAGTGAACTCAAATAACTAGCATTTTCTCCATAAAAGCAACTAAGGTTTGAAATAAGAGTGTACAGATAAGACAAATAGTTATTTGAATATACTGCCAAGACTGTAGCTTTAAATTTTTTTAAACTAACCTTCACAAAGTAGACAAGTACCTTTAAAAATAAAGATAATATTTCTATTAACACAAGCATAAGAAAACATGAAAATGTCAGAAATGATGCTTCTGTTCTTAATATGAGCTCTCAGGAAGCCACCTAATGAGGTTAAAACCAATGAATCTAATGATATCTAATTATATTTGCTATTTGAAATATAGACTTCTGTCCACCACTATTGAAAATTAATCACCCTAAATGTATACAGTGCTTTAAGTATTAATAAGGCATTTAAAAACTAAGCATTTGCAATATAAAGATAAACCTTTTCAGTTTTTTTTTTAATTTAGAAAGCTGTTTTTATTCTTATCACAAAGTTTCTTATTGTAATTAAATATATATATGTAGTAATAAAATTTGCCATTTTAAGCATTTTTAAGTGTACAATTCATTGGCATTTACAATGTTGTACAGCCTTCAAAACTGTCCTTGTCTAAAACTTTCCCATCACCCAAACAGAAAATCTGTACCAATTAAACAATAGTCCTATAACCCAACTCCACCCCTGCTGCCCCTGGTAATCTCTAATCTACTTCTGTCTTCATGTATTTGCCTTGTCTAGACAGCTCATATAAGTGGAATCATACAATATTTGTCCTTTTGTGTCTGGGTTATTTTACTTAGCATAATGTTGCTAAGGTTAATCCAGGTTGTAGCATGTATGAGAATTTCTTATGTAATAGTCCACTGTGTGGATATATCACAAATCTCTTTAATTTTTAAACCAATGTTTTAATACCATGGATTTAATCCAAAACTTTAGAAAGCTTTCCCTTACTAATCAATCTAAATAACCCCTTGTGCTCTGCCTTCTAGTCATCTTCTAATATCACTACACTATTTAATTTTCTCCATAAAATCTGAAAATATCAGGTTTAGTCATTTGTTTCCAGTTTATTTTTGGTCTTCTCCGAGTAGAACATAAACTTCCTGAAGTAGTGCATAACTATATCTCCAATAACCAAATTAGGTCCTGCAAAGGAGGTGCTGATGGTGGGAAGAGAGGGCCACAGCTCACTCTTACCTGGTACACTTGCTATACAGAGAACGTGGGAGTTGCAAACAGTAAAACTGTCTAGGATGTTGCCTGGTTGAACAGCATCAATAATGATAACTTTTGTAGCTGAATGAGTGCTGGTACAGATCCAGACGAGACTAGATAATTCTTCCTGATTTTTTAACTCTTTCTGCTGTTCCTGCAGAGGAAAAGTAAAGAAATGAATGTTTAAAATGGCGTATGTGCAAACAGTCATAAAGCTGTGCTATCACAGTCAAGGGTAATATTATTTCAAGTTTATTTTCAGATTATTTGGAAGGCTGAAAATATAACTACCTTTCCACATTAATCAGCAGACTAAAAACTAGCAGTTAAAGCAGATCAGTGACAAAAATGTTCTGTGTCTTGACAGTGACAGTTGTTACACAGGTGCATACATTTGTCAAAACTCTGAACTGTACACATTTCAAGGATACACTTAACTGTATGTAAAACATACCTCAATAAAACTGATTTTGGAAAGAGAGAAAGGGTAAGGAAGAGGCAAGGGCACAGTAATCCCAATTAGAAGTTGAACCCAGAAGTCAGTTTTGGACCAATGAACTAAACTAATAGTCTCAGACACCAGGGGACAGTGTTAGTGCACACACTTGCCTTCAGTTCCTGATCCAGCTTGTCTAAACTACTCTGAGATGCACTCCGCTGCTGACTGCCTTCTGCATCCAAACCAGCAACATCCTTGTAAAATACACTTGCTCCAACAACAGAACCACCGTCTCTGGTCTTCCCACCAGATAAATTGACTCCAACAGCACACCACAGCTTTTAGGGTTAATAAAAAGGCATTGAGTCACTTTCTCAAAAAATATTCAGAATTTTCCAGATTTTCTTTAACAGTCTAATGATTATAAATATAGGTTTTTAATATTCAAAGTACCCCAGTCTAAAGCTACAAGTAAATCATCCGATCCACAAAAGTAGGATTTAACTTTTTTGGTTTAGAAAAAAAATCCACCCAGATTTTAGGAAGTAGCTTCTTTAACTTGAAAATTAATTTACCTTCATTGATGCATCTTTTTCATCTAGAGGTCTGAGATAAACAGGCACAGGTAAATTTTTCATCTTATTTTCCCCTTGACCATTGGTTACCTAATAATTGGGGAGGGGAGAGAAAGACACATAGGTTAGCCTCACCAAAAGTGAACTTACAGCACCACTGAGATATGGGCCAGTACTGCTGTTCCAGATTTTCTCTTTGAAATCAAGTTGAAGTTAATTTTGTCATTCTTATTTGTAAACTGAGAAAATCAAGTGGCAATTAAAGAAAATAAGATGCTATGAAATCTCAGAAAACAGACTAATTCGCATATGCGTGGGAGTGGGAGAGAGGGAGCATGCGCTGAGTCTTCTGGGAATGGGGAATATGGGGCAGACAGGCACAGTTCCTGAAGACCTGAACTGAGTTTTAAGTCAGCAGTTGAAAGGCTCCATGCCAACGGCTTCTTAACACTTTTAAACAATAGGTGCTGTTTTTCAAAAAATGAAATCTTCAAATATTAAAACAGAGCTGGATACTCAAGTTCCATGCACTCGGCCACCTCCCGTTGACCCCCTCCCTCCTCACAGACGCAGAGGCATTTCCTTAGAGCTCCCAGGCTATGGAAAACAGCCCCAAACCCATTACCCTCAACAATTCTCTAAATGGGCATCAAGTCCAAGCAGCTTGAGATGAGTGGGTTTGGGGTGTGATTTCTGATTCCTTCCTGCCCAGCCACACTCCTGTCCCCTGCATTTCCCACTGTATGCTCTTACCATGCTCACACATTACCTGTTTGTACTTCTGAGGCAGGCTCCAGCCAAAAGCCTGCACTCTCCCATCTTCCTTCTGAACATGTGCCTTTACCTGGCGATACTGCTCTCTCTTTTGTTCTCTGCGTGAGGCTAAACTAGCTTCGGTTCTAGAAAGAAAACAAATGCCCTTTTTAAATTAAGTGAATATAATAGCTCTCCTGCTAAAATAGTAAAAATAACCACCTAAAAATTAAAATTACATGATTTCAAATTCATTTACTTCAGATTAAGATTTCTCCTTTAAAAGTGTTGTACCAAAGCTGGTCTTTTAAAGTTAGACAGTGAATCCTTATTTCAATGGCAGAGAAACTGGGGCTCTAAGAGGTTCATGCACCAAGCTCATGTACCTAATGAGAAGCAGAGTCAGGATGAAAAACCAAGTCCTTCTTACACCAAAGGAAATGTTCAAACATTTAGGATAAAGGTTTATATAAGCCTTTAACTTTCTATTAATATTTATCAATGTGGTCATACCAGAAAAAGGAGATATTAAAAAAAATTCCTTCTTTATGAAAACTGAAATGCAATTTTCCTAAAAGGAATTGACTACAAGTAATTTACTAACAATAGCCATGTTACAGAGTCTGTGTGTAGATTTATCTGAACATTTACAGCTGATCTGATAAATGGTGAGAGTATTTTGGAACTGCTAACTTACTGAGGGCACATGTTAACTTACTGAGGGCACAACATGGTCTGGAAAATACTTACTCTTCGCTAAGGAAGTCAAAGGCTTTGGACTTGTCCCCAGGGAGCTGAGATAAGGTGCTGCTCCTTTTCTTGACAGAAGGAGTAACGTGAGAAGTGGGTGCATTATACTTCAGATTAACAGGTGGTTCGGGTTTCTTAGTAGTATTACTTGAGGAGCTGAAAAGTCGGCTGAAACTAAAAGGAAAAAATTGAGTGTGTATGTATGTTTATGTATGTAATACATGCACTGTAAAAAAACCACACCCACAATTTTCCACAAATTCCAGAGGGCTTTTACAAGGTAGTGAGTTAGAAAGTGGCAAAAAAGTTTTTTATAGTCACACAGTGCAGCCTTAGCAATAACTCATAGCCAAACACAGACATTCGGGAAAGAGAAACTATGGCTTAGCCTTGCAGATCCCTGTTCTTTAATTAGCAATTCCCAGAATGAAAGGAAGCAGCTCTGAAGTACCGGGAACTGCTTGTAATGAAAAAATAAAAGAAGATGGCTCCTTTAGCTAGCTCCTACTTGGTGCCATGTAGTGGTTGTTAAACAGCAAGGTTATGGCTGCATGGCTTGAACAGAAGCCTAGTACGCCAGTTCTAAAAATAGTTACAACAAATACTAGAACACGCATTACCATTTTAACACACATCTTGTACATTTTCTTATTAAATTCAATTGAATATTTTCACATCCACCCCCCAAAAATATCAATACTTCCATTAAATAGCAGATTTACCAAAAAAGGGTAAGTATTAAGCACACTAAACACACAGTACGGCTAGCATGAACATAATTCAAGTCCAAAACCAACATATACTACTATTCAAACCCTGCAAACACTAAATTTCTAATCTTTGCTTTGTAAAGTTTTTTACAATCACACAACCAGTGAAGCAGTCACTTATTAATGGGGATCCAGGTAATTATCAACTCTAGGAATAGTTCCCCATTACGTTATTTAACTTATCAGGGGATTCCATCAAATGCATAACCAAAATGATGCAGCTTACGACAGCAATATTTTTGTCCTCAAGAACAGCCTTACCGAGCTGGCACACTACATATCAAAAAGAAAAAGTTCACTTTAGCTATATACCCCAAATTTGAGAAAAGAAGCTAGGGAGAAAAAGAGGGAGGAACTAAGGAAGGGAGGAGACACCAAATCATTCTTTTTTTAAAATATATATCTTTATTGATTTCAGAGAGAGGAAGAGACAGAGAGAGATAGAAACATCAAAGATGAGAGTCGTCACTGATCGGCTGCCTCCTGCAGGCCCGACTGGGGATCAAGCCCGAAACCCAGGCATGTGCCCTGACCGGGAATCAAACCGTGATCTCCTGGATCCTAGGTTGATGCTAAACCACTGACCCATGCCCGGCCGGGTACCAAATCATTCTTGAAAATAAATTTTGACTAGAATTTTGTCTCAAAGTGCCATCTAATGTCTTTATGCCTTTCTAGATACTTACAATTGCCAGATGCTTGACCTTTTTTTTTCCTGCATAGCTGGATTTTCTCTTGATGCTCTACATTTAAAAAAGAAGAAAAAAAAGTGTTATTAGTGAGGTGTTCTAGCTGTCTAAGAACCAAGTACAAAAGTAGTTCATGGATGACCTATTGTATCGGCCGGTCTGCTAAAGCTACAATTAAAATAAAATACCATCTCCCCCTCAAAGATCTCAGTCTACTGATAGAGATAAGACTGTTACCTGTACTGGACAGATATGACTGAATGTTAATATTTACAATTTTTTATTGAAGAGAGAGCCTCCACCTCATTCCCCTTTATCAAAATATTGCCTTGTAAATCCCTATCTTTACATAAAGATCTGTATCACCTTATAATCCCAGCTCTCAGAAAGTAGCCTGTAATTTTACTATTTAGATGTGTCATTTTTCACAGGACTGAAACTTTTCCACCACTGAAAAGATGATCAGAGAACGGGATAAACTAAACTGATAGGTAATTCAACAAAATTTGAGAAAATAAGGCATTCCAAATTGATTCAGTAAGATGGTAAGGATTCTGCCAACACTATGAGAGCCCCCACCTTTATGTTTCTTAAAAGACTAAATTAAAAAGTTAAAAGGTACTATTTATTTTCATTTGTTGACTACCACTTGGTTGCTAAAAATAGCAATGAAAAGTGGAGCCTTCCTATATGCCTCAGTTTTTAAAATATTTATTCATCATTTATTTACTATCCATTAACTGCTGGAGTTAAGAACGCATTTCTTAGGACATTAGTTTTTTGTACAATAAATAAAGATTAGAATACTAATCTTCTTCCTTCTTAGTAGCTATACACAATTACAATTTTAGCAAATTGTAAATATTCTATACAAAAGATTTCTAGTATAACAATAGTAAAGGATATATAAACTGCTAAATACATGATGCAATCATAAGGAAGTAAAAGTTGGAGGCTAGAAACTATATTCGTAAACTTTAAGAGAATGTGTATGTGTGTGTCATTACTGGTAAATCTGATGTGACAGTCCAAACTCAAAAAAGCAGGCAAATTAGAGGTAACTAGTTTATAAAACTTTTCATGAGCTCTTCCTAAGTGAAAGGAATACTGTTACTGAGAATCTGACCACTAGATGGCAGCATTAGAGAGATTTAAGATCTGACCAAGATCTCAATGGAAGTGGCATTTTGCATGTATGTCAGAAAGGGAAGAGAAATTCAGCAAGGGCATTTTAAAGGAAGACACTGAGTAAAAATGAGTATTTCCTACTGGCATATGAAATTCTTATATTTCCCTGACATTACTGCAAAAGTAGTGTCAATTTCTATTTTCTTCTGAGAAATGAACATCATTCCTAAGTAATAACAATTGTGTCTTAGAGGCTGTGGGAACACTCTCCAAGAGCCCTTTACTGGCCCAAAAGGCACCCACGTTGATCACATTCTGTTACTAATTCCAAGTGTTACTTTAGGAAGTCTCTCCTAGTAAACAGCAAGGAGCTTGGATTCCCAAAAGCAGGACTCTAAATTCTGAATAAAGGAATATTGAAAACTAGGAAACAATACTAGGAAAACACGAGAAGTACTTCTCAATACAAACCGAATCATCTCTGTCCATCGAACAGCCTCCTGAAGTTCCATCAATCTCTCTTTATACTGGTTTCTCTCCATTAGAACGCGGGCCATTTCTACTCTAGTAAACCGCTTCCTCTGGGCTGTGGGAATATCACTCTATAATGAAAAGAAGACTACAGATCACTCTGGGAGACTATATCTGCTTTGATGTTCTCTCAGAAAGAAAATCTTGAAGCATGCAACAGACTGATGTATTTCAGAGGGAAGGGGCAGGGGAGAGACTAACCAATGAACTTACATGATAGCCCATGGACAGACACTAGTGTGGGAAAGGCCTGGGGAGGGGGTGGGAGTGGGTCAATGGGGGGGAAAAAGGGGGACATCTGTAATACTTTCAACAATAAAGATCAATTTAAAAAAAAAGAATCAACCAATGAATGTATAAATAAGTAGAATAACAAATCGATGTTTCTCTCTCTCCCTTCCTCTCTTTCTAAAATCAATTTTTTAAAAAAGTTGATTGTTATCATTTAATATGCTCACCTGGAAATGCTGCTCTAACAACATTATTTTAAATTCATGTTCTACAACAAATGCTAGTCATTCAAAAATTAGTTACAATTTAGTTTCAAAAGGGGTTCATTTATCTCAAATTACCAATCCATATGCTCCCAAGGCCAGTGTAAAGTGTAAATTTATTGACTGGTTACCAAGGTACTCAACTCTAAGAGGCACTAAAACACCAAGAGAAATACAAGATGAAGAAAATTGTATTACCCAGAATTCTTGTCAGGAAAAATAAGGGATGTGAGTACAGTAAAATCTCACAGGGGCATGCTCAGGTCAACTTCCCTTTGCTGATGGTAAAGGGGAAAGGTTAGATTAACTGTAAAGCTTTTGTTTTGCTGAGTGAAGTATGCACATTTTGGATCAAAGCTGAAAAGCTTGGGACAGTAAGAAAGAGGAAAAGAGCAGTCTCCTCTGTCCTGCCATAGGCCTTGGCCTCTCCTTTAAAGGTCCAACAACAAATGATTAAAGGGGTTTGCAATACAGCAATCCCACTACTAGGTATATACCCTGGAAAAACTAGGAGACTTCCACTGCAATGTTCATATAAATAGCAGTGTTTGTGGTAGTAAAAAGCTGAAAACAACCTATTCATTAACAGGAAAACTGATACATAAATTGTAGTATATTCATATGATGGGATATTACAAAGCAGCTAATATGAATGACCTATAGCGCTATACTACAACACAGGTGAATATCAAAATATAATACTGAGTAAAAGACGCAAGTTTCACAGACTAAATACAGTATAAAATGCAGAAATAATGAAAATTAAACCATACTTTGTATGAATACATACATGTGGCATAAATTTATTTTTATTTAAGGTGAGAAAATAATAAATACAGGATAGTAGTTTTCTCTGGAGGGGAGAAACACAGGGTAGCATCAATGTTTGAAAATGTTCTAGTTCCCAGGTTGGGTAGTAGGTTCATAATATTAATTTAGTATAATGTTTTTGGTTTTTTTTTAGTATAACGTTAAGTTACTATTCATAATTTTGTTATGTTACATGTATATTTTATATTTTAAGTATTATATAAAAAACAAATAAGAGGTTGAAGGGGCACCAACTAATCATTCTATCCAGGACACCCATATAGCTCAAATGGGATGCTCAAGTAGCAAATACCTGTCAAAGGAATGATAACCCAGCTACCAACAGAATAGCTAGTATGCTAATAATACTGGCAAGAAGCTCATATTTATTCTTTCGTATTTATATATGTTGATAACATTATGGGCTAGTGGCCCAGTATTAAATGCTAGACTTCACCTTTTTATGCTTAATTCTATTAAACAATTTTTATTATTAAGCTTTCATATATCTAAGTCAAAATCTGAACCCAAACAAAAACCAAAAACTCAAAAATGTCCCAGTTAGTCCATGAGCTTCCACATGCAGGCACAGGTCAGAGCACAGAGCCACAGGGGGCGAAAAACACATCACATGTAGCTAGAAAGCTCTGCATCTGGACACCACGTGGGAGCAGAAGCTATCCTACTCATGACCACAAACATGTCTTCAGGCTTTTTAAAAAAAAAAATCTTTATAATACCATATCCAAAGCTTAGTTAGCAAGACTTCCCCTAAATACGAAAATGTGGTAAGGTAAGAATAAAAGCCCAAAATCGTAAACCTACGTCGTCGTCGTCTTTTGCTTTTTGCCTCGCATCCTCAGCTTCAGCACGAGCTCTAGTGGGAAAAAACATGTTATGTGAGTTGAGTTCATCTTTTCAAAGAATGAAAAAGTAGGTCAAAAATTTTAACCAGTACTAAAGGACTATTTTTCTGTTTTCAAACAGTCTTTACTTAGCTGCCTTTATCGAGGGGAACATTACCATAGCACTGTACTAGGGAAAAAAACAAACAGGTATTAAAGAAGGTTGGGTGAAAGAAAATGATGAATGTTTCTAATTTCCTTATTAGCAATACTTGAACAGTTCTGCTAACCCTTTTATGCATCATGACAAACACAAAAAATGCTCATATGCAGTAAACGGAGAGCGTGCCCGCAGCAGGGCAATGGGCCGCTCCTGGCGCCTCCTGGTCTGTGTGGCATCGGTCTCGGCGGCTAGCCTCATGGTCCCCAGCAGCTGGCGGACACTTGGGCTCACAGTGGAAACTTACTTCCTCAGCTCTTCCTCCAATTCTTTGTTCTTTTCCTCTAGCTTCAGTTTGGCTTGTTTCACAGCCTCCAACTCCCCCTGCAGCACATCTTTCTCACAGGTCAGTTCATCCACTTTTGCTATCAAATCGTTCTTGACTACATTCAACGCATTTCTGGGAATCACAGATTGCAAGTGCGTCAGTACAAATAAATCCTTTCCATCTTTAAGCTTATTCTCTTGTACACTAAGGAAATACACAGTCATAAAGCTGAATAACTGAACACTGCAAAGGCATTCTACCGGGTATTGTTTGTGGATAAAGGTAAAAAGAAACACAAAGCAACGTTCTAACCGAATCCACAGGGTACTGTTGTTAATAAGTTCTGGAGAGATTACCTAATCAATGAAGTAAAATTAATTAGGAAAAAAAAATCTAAGATCTAATTCCCTTTTGAGTACTGTGGGCATAGGACCTCATTATAGATGCATTTTGTTTTGGATATACCCAAGTGTTCCAAAGTTGCTCTGACACAACAAATTAACAATGGGGCCTGATGTTTTCCACATGACTCATGTGCTTGAGGGCCTAAGACCCCACAAACTGTACCTGAGAACCTATAGTTATGGTGGGGAAGTCTGAAGAGGTGGGCTGGATATAGAGCAATACATTTATGCAGAAATAAAAGAAACCCCAGGAAAAGAGATAAGAAAGGAGACATCCTGGGGAGGGAACAAAACACGCACAGGACTCATCCAGAATACTGAGGGAAAGCCCGGACGCATGTATAAGGAAAGCAGATAAAAACCTCTGCAAACAACTGAGCAATGGAAACTACTCATCCATGAAATGAGATCCCATGAACAATTTGTGTGTGTGCGCACAGATGCACAAGCCCACACACAGAGAAGGGAAATGAGATGGGACAGTGAGACAGCATTAGTGCCGTGCTGAAGTGAAGAAATGTCATTAACTTAGACAAGAAAAAAAATCAGTATCTTTTCATCCATATTAAAATTTTATATATACTTACTTGGTTTCCAACAGTTGCGTATTTTCTAATATAAGATTCTCAACTTCACGACCCATTCCTAGCAAAAGAAAAAGAATAAAAACTTTGAAAATAAATTTATAAAAAATTATATAAGCTTATAAGCTATAGCTGCAAGTTTTATTTTATGAACGTCCTCTCTCCTTTAGCAATCTCATTTTGTCTACCATTTCATTTGATACATCTAGAGTGGATTATAAAATTATGATTTCCCATCACAAAACAAAGCTAAAGATTTTGTTAGCCAATTCTTTATAACCATTAGCTGTATTTTCTCATATTTCAAAAGGATCAAGACATTTCTGCCAAATATTCTAAAATGTAGCAGCATTTAGGGGGAAAAAGGAAAACATTAATATGGATAGAAAATCCTTTTCAAATCACAGGCTGGCACTTCAGGCCTTTGCCTAAAAATTAGGCCTTACTCATAAAGAACAGGCAGAAATAAGGCCAAAGAAAGACGAAACCCCAATGCAGATGAAGCCTTACCAAAGAAATTATGTTCTTAAAGCCCATGCATTCCATGTAAAGCAAAAACAAAGAACAAGAAATGTTTTGTGTAAGAAACAGAATGAAAATTGATCATTAATCTGTACAGTTTTATGCATGATATGAAACACATCTGGAATCACAATGCCATGATTTAATGCCTAATGGTGTGCAAAAGACAGAAATTACAATGATTTTCTCATAAGAAGCTCAGACAGGTTATAAAACAATGCTTTACCAATTCTTTCTCATAATAAAACAGGATATAATTAGATCAAACCCTGGATCAATAGTATAAGTTTCCTTCAAAGTGTTAATGTTAATGATAATGTTGTCACTTTAAAGAACTGTGCGTAATAATTTACTGAGTACTGTAAGGTAGGCGGGTGGAGCATCAATACAACATCCAATGCAGTAATCTTTAAGGAGAAACTATTTAACTTATTACTTCTAAGAAATAGAAGAAATAAAAAAGCACACGAGGGAATATATCTCAAAAAGCTACAAAAATGAACAAACAAAAAAAAGCAAAGAAAAACAAAAACAAAACTCATTGCTCATTTACCCTAAGCTAACATGTTAGAAAATTACATACAATGGAAGAAGTAGTATTCATAGCACAGCTAAACAGGAAGAAAATGTTTCTAAAGAAAACTATGCAAAAGAGCTAACATGTCCCCTTATTAAAAAAGGTAATACTCCAAATGACTTAAAGATAATTTAACATAAAACCAACCTAAGAATGCTAAAAATTCAATGCTTACAATGGACTAATATTTTGTCCACATTATAATTATCTCAGATTCTCAAAAGATCAGCATACTTCTACCATGAAGAATTAAATGTCAGAAATAGTGTTTATATAATCATCTATGTATTCTCCAAAAACTGAAAATAAAGAAAACCTTTAAAAGTTTCCATATTCCAATTCCAAAATGAATTCTGGCAAGATATGTTGAAATATTTGCTTTAAACACTAATGCTAACTTTTAAAAAAAAGCTATAGAGTTGGAAGAAATAAAGTTTAGACTTGCTTTAAAAAGTTTATATAATGACTATGTTTGCTATAAACTCATAAGCATACAGGGAGATAAGCATAAAAGTTAAAAATATATGTAGGGCGCAAAAAATAGCTGAGCAGAAAAAAATGATGAGAAAGCATCAAATGAGAACAGCAGCCAAGAACACCTAGCTTAAAAAGCAGTATATTAAAGTATTTAAAAGCATACACACCAGAGTATTCCCCTGGGTAAGCAGCCCAAGAGAAAAATGAAAGAGAATCTCAATTAGATTGTTTGCAAAAAGCAAGATCTACACTCATTTATTTCAAAATGAGAGAGAGGAGACAATAAAATTGAAGAGATGTGTAGAAACCATTAACTAAACACAATAAAGTGTAAATATTATAAATATGAAAAATTAAAATATGTATTATATGGGGATCACATCCTACAATGTAGTTTCTAAAGTTTACACATTCCTGTCAGGCCCGGTGTGGCTCAGTAGTTGAGCATCGACCTAGCATCCAGGAGATCAAGGTTCGATTCCCAGTCAGGGCACATGCCCGGGTTGCGGGCTCGATCCCCAGTCGGGGGTGTGCAGGAGGCAGCTGGTCAATGACTCTCTCATCATTGAGGTTTCTCTCCCTCCCTCTCCCTCTCCCTTCCTCTCTCTGAAATCAATAAAGATACATTAAAAAAAAAAGTTTACACATTCCCAATGAATTCTCTCAAAATCTAGTGTATGAATTTAAAATATCAAAAGAATTGTCCAAAATTTTCACTTTGAAAGAGATCAATAAACACTAACTCATAACCAAAGAAAAACTTAAAAGAAAAATTTAATTGGAAGTAGCCTCATTTCTATTCGAGACTTCAACCAAACATAAACTTAGGTCTAACATATTTGGAAACTTTACTATTAGAGCAAGCAAAAACCTGCCTGTGGTTTTCAAAATCAGAGACACCTCAATTGATTTTAGCTTTGAGTCTCAAGTTGGGTCCGTAAATGGGCTTCCAAATTACCTGTTCATCTCTTGAGAAAGTACACAGAATTTTACCTAGTTCTGTATGGGCATTTCCCCAGAAGTACACTGATCTCTTACAGATTCTCCAGTAAAGGAGTTTCTTCACTCCAAAAGGTGAAGAATCACAAATTTAGAGATGAAACAAAACTGTCAGAACTATATAGGAATCCATTCACTTAGATGCTGTGCAAAGTACTGAAAACAGGACAGTGAGCAAAGACATAGTTGTCTTGGCCACATTGAGCTTACAGTCTACTCAAGGTACATAAAAAATTACAGTAAAGTATGAAGAGTGGCATAATAAATAAAATGCAGTGCTATGAGAATACACTTCAGGGACAACTAAACTCTAACTAGGAGATCAAGATAGAATTCCTACAGGAGGCTGTGCCATTGAAGCAGAAGCAAGATGGAGGCAGATATACAGATTTTTTTTTTTTAAAGAAAAAGAGCAAACAATTCTTTGTGATTGTTGAGGAAAGAAGGAGAGATCTAGAATGGAGAACTGAGTGGATGGTGAGGTCATTCATTCACTGAGTTAGTACAAGTTGGTTAGTATAAGAAGAGCCTTGTGGGACAGGAAAATAAGGATGATGATGAACTGAGCTTTAGGCATATCAAGTGTAAAGCCCTACAAATCATCTGAGAACTGTCGATGGCTGTTTGAAAGTAACAGTCTGGCCCGGCCGGGCGTGGCTCAGCGGTTGAGCGTCGACCTAGGATCCAGGCGATCGGGGTTCGATTCCCGGTCAGGGCACATGCCCGGGTTGCAGGCTCCAACCCCAGTAGGGGTTGTGCAGGAGGCAGCTGATCAATGACTCTCTCACTGATGTTTCTATCTCTCTCTCTCCCTCTGAAATCAATAAAGATATATTTTTTTTAAAAAAAAGTAACAGTCTGGGGTACAACAAAAAGATCTTGGAAGGAGGTTAAAACTTTGGCACCATTAGCCATGAAAGCTGAGAAACAAGAGCAAATAAGATTTCCTAAACAAAGAAGCCACCTTGGAACAGGAACACTGAGATCTGGAAGATGGGCAGAGAAGGGGAGCCTGCAAAGAAGACTGAAAAAAATGCAGGCAAGTCTGATATTACAGAAACCCAGCAAAGACAGTTTTAAAGACAAATGCTATTTGAGAAGTCATGTGAAATAACTGAGAAGGAACTATTGGAAACAGCAAACAAAAGGCTGTCTCAGGCAAGGCGAGTGTGGGGGAGAATGCCACTCACACTGCAGCCGGCTGAGACGCAAGTAGGACTTGGGAAACCCTGTGGTTAAAAGCAGCCACACTTCTAAGAAGCCTGTTTTGTTCACTGATGTATCACAGCATCTAGAATTGTACCAAGCACATAACAGACACCTCACTGATATTGCTGCATAAAAGTGTGACTAGGAATGGAAAAGTGACAGGGAGGGTAGCTACTGAAGCTAGCAGGTCAGAAGAGGCCAGTATTTTTATTTTTTAATGGTAAAGACCTGAACATGTTTAAATAATAATAGAAAGAAGTTAATATAGGTGGAGAAGTAGAATATATAGAACATAATCAAGAGAAAGAAAATCCCAACATAAGGATGCGTAAACATATGATTTCCAAGTTCTAGAGTGTGGCCACGGGAAACAAGGGGCTGCCGTGAATGGAGACAGGGATCAATCAAAATAAGAAAGGCAGAGGATGAGATACCAATTGAGAGAAAGGACAAGCCGTAAGGAGTTAGTTATTTTAAATTATTAAAATCATAAAAAAGGGATCTATGCACATGTATAATGATTACCAAAAACTTTATGATCCTCAAACAAGAGAAGAGTTTTATAATGAGTGATACAAATGGGCCGTGTACTTATTTATCAACCCAAGGTCAATCGATGGACCCTGGGAAACAATTTTATTAGTGTAGCTATATTCCACTTATGAAGTATTACACCTCAATTGCTGTCACTGAACTGTACAGAAGGTCTTAAGTTATAAGAAAAGGTACACCGAAGCTACTTGACACAAGTGAGAATCCTGTAATTATTGTTAGAAGGAACTTTAGAGATCACCTAGAGCAGGAGTCAGCAAACTTTTTCTATACAGGGCCTGATGGTGAATATTTTAGGCTTCTAAGCTGTATGATTTCTGCTGCAGACTACTTAAGTCTCCTGTCGTAATGGAAAGGCAACTATAGACAATAAACAAACAAATGAGTGTGATGTGTTCCAATGAAACTTTATTCACACACATAGAAGATGAGCTGGATTTGGCCCATGAGCTGCAGTTTGCCCAACCCCTGAAATAAGAGTCTAACCTCTTCCTTTTATACACAAAAAAACTAAGGCTCAGAGAGGTTAAGCTATTTGGCAAAGGTCACCAGATAAACAGAAGAGCCAAATGTACTATTCTTTTCAGACCAGGTGTTCTTCAATGACACGAGTTCTAAAATGATTACATTTCCCACAGAGCTGAAACAGAAGACTCAGTGAAATCTCAGAAAAATCAAGTGTTATAGTTTCTTATTTACAAAATCTATTTTTAAAAACAGTGCACTACTTCTTCAGATAAGCTATCGTACCTAGTAAATCCGCTCCTTCATCCACATCTCCAATTAGGCCTGAGCCAGCTGAAGACAGTTCTTCAAAGAGAGATTCTGTGTTGCGATCAAAAGCTTTGTTCTCTATGCCTTTGGTGGGAGTGCTATGCAACAAAAACAACAAAACCAAGTCAACAAACACCACAAAGATTGTAACAGTGTAAATGAGTACAATAGGCTAAGTTACATAGAAATTTTCTTACCTATAATTTATAAATACAAAATATAATTTTAAAAGATTTCTCAAAGTTTCCTAAGAAATTCCCACTAAATTTCCACCGAGATAACTAGTGAAGAACACACAGTGTTGTGCAGTGAACCCCAGCAAACATGATGGCAATTCATGGAGAGCTGCTCTGATTCCAGCAATGGTGTAAGTGCTTTACATAGATTACCTTGGTGAAGCCTCACACCTACTATACAAAGTAGATGCTGCTATTATCTCAGTCTTACAGAAGAGAAAACTAAAGAGGTTAAGAAATTTGCCAAGATCATCCAGCAAAAGAGTTGAAACAGGCGGGATTCAAACACAGGTAGGATTCAAATTCAGGCAGTCTGGCTTGAGAATCTACTTAACTAACACAATCTTAACTGCCATGCTCTATATGGTCTGGGTATGAATTGGCATGGTTATTTAATTTTTCTTTTAAGGGCAACTTGACAGTAGCTTAAAACTTTTTTTTCTTTTTTAATCAAATTATAATAGAAAGTTTATTTAGAAAGTTACAGATGTAGTATAAGAGAGCCAGCTATAGGAACAGAAGAGCCCACGGAGCTTAGGAAAGAAAAAGGCAAAGATAACACACCTGGGGGAAAGAAAAGAGGGAAGGGAAAGGTCAGGGTGTGCTCCGGGGAGGGAAAGGGTACCTCCATTAAAACTTTAAATGCAATACCCACTCCCACTGAGCCAAGAATTTGATGTCACTGCGCTAGCAGGTTTTGCTCAGTGGTTAGAGCATCAGCCCAAGGACTGAAGGGTCCCAGGCTGAATTCTGGCCAAGAGCATGTACCTCAGTTGCAGGCTCAATCCCTGGCCCTGGTCGGGGCACATGTGGGTGGCAACCAATCGATGTATCTGTCTCACATCGATGTTCCTCTCTCCCTCTCCCTCTGTCTCTCTCTCTCTTCCCCTTCTACTCTCTCTGAAAGAGCAATGGAAAAAATATCCTCGGGAAAAAATAAATAAAATTAAACCCCTGTCACAAGAAGGTAATTATGTATATAAAAGGATGGTCAGAGCAGCATTTTTATAGTAGCAAAAGGCTAAAGTGACCTAAGTTGATAGGGAGCAGATGAAATAAGTTATTGAGATTTTATATATATATATATATATATGTTAAAAGTTAAAAACATTAAAATAGAGCTTTATAAGCTAAAGAAACCCATTATAAAAAGATGTTTTTAAAAAAGCAAACAGCAAAACAGTATGTATCACATAACCCTTTTTTGCAGGAGTAGAGGGAAATGGGGAAATATATGTACGTTTGCACACTAATGTCATAGTAATAGAAAAAAATTTATGCAGCATTTCCAATTAAACATGGTGAACTGAAAATAGTCACCCAAAAATTCAAAACTCAACTAAAATGACAGGAAAGGAATTAAAAAGGACCCAAAGGACATAAGGAATAGAAAACGAAACTAGAGCAGATGACATGTGAACAAAATTCTATAAGATGGAAAACAAATGGGCAAGGAGTAGAAAGTGATTTAACAGGCAAGAGAAAGCTGAAACCTGAGCCAATGGGGTTGAGGGAGGAAGTCAGGAGGCTGCCAGAACCCCTGAAAGGCCCAGGAATCGAAGGAACCAGCAATCTGCAGAGAGGAGCACGCAAGGGGGACATAAAACAGAAGGATGAGCTGAAACACGACACAAGAAGCAGTGAGGCCCAGTCCTCTACAAGACTCAGACCTCCCTCTTGCAGCATAGCTCCCTGCATAATAGAAGCCAAGTTTAAATGTTCCAGGCAGGACACTGGAGAGTAAGTCATTTAAGTGTGAGTAAAACAGCCTCAGAGCATCAGACACTTAAAGAAGACCTCTATATATAAAAGAATCCAAAACAAACGGAGTGTGACAGAGGCACTCGGAGCAAAAGGGGACAATGCAGGCAGCAGCAGAAAATTAAGAACAAAAAAAATTTTCAGAATATTGAAAACAAAATCTTTTACGAAAAAAATTATCAATGAGGGCTGAAGGGTAAAGTTGAATAAATCATCCAGAAATTAGAAAACAGGAGAGATTGAAGAGGGCAAACAAGAACAATGGGGGTCAGCCCGAGATGTTCAATGTCCACTAAAAGGTGTTCCTCAAAGAGAGTAAATAAGAATAAAAACGAAAATTTCTCAGAACAGGGAGGTATGATTTTTACAGATGAAAAATTTACTATATGCAAGATACAAAACAGGAGACCCCTGTACCAAGGAACATGATCATAACCCCAATTCTCCCAAAGAAAGTGCATACTTAGCTACTACTACTCGAGATGCACAGGAGTGTGACTAATTCATAAATACGAGAGATGCCTTAGGGCATCAGGACAACTTCTTACAGAACTCCAGCTGGGAAAGCAGGACCAAGGAAGACCAGCATAAGGATGTGATTTAAATACCTGAAGATAAACAGCAAAAGAGAGCTAAGACGTGACAGAGATTACCTCTTGGGAGGGGGAATGAGGAGTGGGTAGGGCGACTGCCCTTCATATTTTGTATTACCATTTGACCCTAATCCAGCACACATGCGTTAGTCTAATAAAAATAAATGTTTAATCTTCACAGAGTCTCAAAATGACAAAAGCACACAGTTAACAAGTAGCTGCATCTCCTGGGCTTAGGAGAAGGACAAAAAGCAAATCACCTTTTATACTCTAGATTGTTTATAATTTTAAATATACAATAAAGGAAAAGATATTTTTACAGGACACAGTCTCTGAAATCAGAGTCCTAGGCTGAACTCAGCTCTACCCCTTGCTGGCTTAGGAATCCTGGACCTCCTGAGTTTCCACATCTGTAAAATGGGGATGAAGAACTCTACCTCGCATGGTTGTAATTTAGAACGAATTATATAAAATGATGATGCTGACATTAGTGAACATCGCTGAACTGGGCACTCTGCCAGTGATTTAACATATACTGATTCATTCACTTCTCACAACCATCTGAGATATTACTATAAATTCCTTCTATGGATAAGGAAACTTACCTCAGAGTCAAATCCAAGGCAGGATTTTAACCCACTCTCTTACCCTAGGCTCATGCTTTTAACCACTACTGCATATTGCACAATGTCTAGCAGTGATCAATAAATGGCATGCATTTTAATGATCATTATTAGTTAATTAAAGGATAAAATTTATGGGGAAAAATTAAAAGGCAGTAGCTCCTGTGTGACATTCTTGAATGTCAATCTGTTTCAGGTGGCCCTGGTTAAGACGATGATATGTCACCATTTTCTTCCCACCACCAAACATCCTCCCCCAGTAAAATGAAAAGAATGCCTTCCAAGAGCAAGACCCTCACACTTCTAGAGGGAGTAGTCTCTTCTTCCTGATCTGGGGGAAGGAACAAAGTTTGCTCAAATGGTTAATTCCCCCACTCCTGCTCCCGTGTTTCCTTAAGTTCCAGAATATAGGGAAATCCTCTGGCTGTCCTTTTCCCGTCCTTCCACCTGCTCCCAATACCTGATTCTGCAAAGGCGACATTTCATAAAACATTTAAACCATGTACAATGTCCAGTTTCAAAAACAGAAACTGAAATATAATTCTACCATTTCTTCAGCAAAACATGTGAATGCATTCAGTCTGGTCAGAGACCAGAGAACAACGGTGTACTTCTGAGAAAGGGGACAGGAGAACAAATGTCTTATTCTGACATTTACAGCACCTGGAGCCTTTGTATCCACTGAGGTCTTTGTCCATATCCAACTCAGGAGTGGACTCGATGATGGCCTGAACCTCTGACTTCTCTTCATTTTCTGCAGAGCCTTTATTAAAAGGACATGATGACGTAAGTAATGACTAGATCACACACTATCCCTAGTATGAAAATGCTGCTGCTTCTATGGTTGTAAATACATTTGATCATAAAAGAAATTTTAAAGAGTGGATTCTAGGAAACACAGGGTTAGACACTATGTCACATATTCAATTAACAGTTAATATCAGAAACTAATAAGTAACTAAAGAAAGTTTTCATTTGTATTTCTTGGGACACAGTGCAGTATATTGTAGGCCAGACCTCCCTATTTTCATTCCTATTTAAGGGGTGGAATAGAGAGAAAATAAAGACAAAGACTAATGGTCTGAGGCAGGGACAGAAAAATAGGGCCCCCTATCTTTCAGGCTCTCCAACCTCCAGCTCTCAACATTTTCCTCTCCAAAAATTACTTTATCACCACCCCTTTAAGCTTATTCACAATTGAGTACAATAAATTGTTTATTTATTTTATAAATCCAAAGCACCAACAATCCAATGATGACCTTTCTCATACCCACATCATCTGGGTTTATTGAATACTTTGCCAGTAAGCAAAGAACTAGGATCACGGCCTGGCCAGGTGGCTCAGTTGGTTGGAGCATCATCCCATACAGCAAGCAAAAGGTGGTGAGTTCGCCTGGCTGGGTGTGGCTCAGCAGTTGAGCATGAGATCATGATCACCTATGATCCAGGAGATCGCAGTTCGATTCCGAGTCAGGGCACATGCCGGGGTTGCGGGCTCGATCCCCAGTGGGGG